TAACACATTTAATTTTTCATTCTTTTTTTGCTTTTGAAATTTAAATTATTATAATCAGTAGAAGATGATGCGAGGGATGGAGAAGAAGAATTAAGGTTGATTAAAAAATGAAGCTGGAAAGTTTGAAATTCTCGAGAAGATCTTTCTTCTGTAATTTTTCATATTATTTTTTTCAATTTAATGCAATTTGATCGTTTAGCGATCGAAAGAAGCGATTTTTCTCATTCATTTATTGTAATTATTATATAAATATTGTTTAAATATGGAAAAGGAATCTTCGAGGCTTTAAAATCAAAATTCCAAATTAGCTAAAAAAATAAATTTTAAACTAAAAATTTTATTGATTTGCTCAATTTTTTCAATCTATAAAAATATTTGCAAAAAGTCTTCCAGTGCTAATTACATGGTTTATTTTTTTTTTGAAATCGATTGTTAATTTGAGTAAATATCATTTCAAACTTCGCTAAATTTTTTAAATTTTGAGCATTATGAAAATTTATCACATTGCTGAAAGTTTTTTTATGACATTTTCGATTTTGTTTTCTTTCATTTCTAATTTTTTTAAAATCTTCCTCAACAACACTTCATGTTTGTGCTAAAATTTCAACGAATTAAATTTCTTTCCTTTTTTTTTTTGTTTTATATTGAAACTAAGCTATGTTAGAATTTTTTCTTTAAATATAGTATAGTCTAACTTTTCTCCTAAAAAATTATTTATTAATTTTTTGAGTTTTTATTTATTACAAAGATAATTTTTATTTACAAGAAAAGCAATGGTATGATAACATTACAATAACATTTAACACTTACAATTATTTATTGCGCCATCCTATAATAATTTATTTGAAACTTTTATAGTGCGAACAAAAAAAGTAAAAAAAGAAAAAGGAAGAAAAATTAGGTAATTCAAATGTAAAATGAAAACTTTTTTTTGTCAATTTTCTAATCAAATTTAAGAATGAAATCTAATTTCTCTTTTAAAATAATAAATAATAAAAAAGTAATAATGATTTTATCAAATTCATTTTTACTAAAATATTTATAATTTATCAGCTGTTTACGAACTTTAGTCAATCAAACATTTTCAATGATTACTTTTGAACATTTTAAAATTCTCTTTTTTATTTTCTTCAAAACATTCTCAATTCTATAACTGTCTTCTTCTCTGCTATATTACTTTTATTTCTATCATCTTTCTTTCTTTCCTACTTCTTTTCTTTTTCAACTGGAATATTTCATAGTTTTTAGCTTTTGATAAAACTTTAAAATATTTGTCAGTTGGCTAAAAAGCTAAAAAGCTCTTAGTACAAAGTACAAATTTTATCTTTTTTTCAATTTCTCCATTAAATTTAAAAATAAGAAAAATGTTAACAAATAAATATAATGTAAATGTCCTTTTTGTTTTTCTCATAGGTTGAAAAATTTTCTCATAAAGTTCAAAAACTTTTTCAAACTTCCCAGGATTAGCTGTGTTATTCGTTTAGGTGCTTTCAACAGCTTTACATTTCTTTTTTATCTTTTCATTTTATTGAAAAAAAAAATTTTTTTTTTTTTTAAATTATATTTAATAATTATTTTCAATAATTATGTTGCAAAATCATTTATCATTTTATTTAAATTTCCTCTCTACTAAAAATGTTTAATTCATATTTTTTTTTTCATGTAATTTTAATTATTGTTTTGTTTTTTAATAAATTTTCATGTGAAATTTCATATTTAGTAATATAATTTAAAATAACTATAAAAACTTTTCAGATTACTTTAACTTTCAGATTACTGTAAAAATTAATTTATGAACTATGGTATACTTAATGTTGTAATAATGTGATGGCTAATAAAAAATATTTAAAAAAAAATGCACAAATCATATCAATTTCCCTATGATACAGAAGAGAATAGCCAATTTTCTCAAATGAAATTATGTTTATTCCATTTTTTCCGAACTTTTTTTTTATTATAAATTTTTCAAATTCTCAATTAAATTTTCACTTTTTATAAAGTTTTTTTTTTTTTTTTTTAGAAAAAAAAACCCTATTATTGCCAATAATTTAATTTATACGAAAAATAAATCATAAAAATTTGGAAATATTTATTTTGATTCAAATTTGATTCATTCGCTATTTAATGGGAAAAAATTAGTTCAAATTTTAATTTTTAAAAAAAGAAAATTAAGTAATTTTAAACAGAATAATGTTATGTTAATAAATTTAGAATAGTATAATAATTTCGAATAAAAAATTTAACGAACTATTTTACGATGTTTTTTTTTTTTTTTGATTATTATTACTTCAGATAAATTTTTCAATTTCACTTGTTTGATTTCAAATTAATCCAACAATAGAAGTGTATTTTGATTAGAATTTTGAATATAATAAAAATGCTAGCTTATTTCTTTCACTTGCAATTAATTATTATCATTTTTGAAATTTTTGTTAAGCATTTTTTCTTTTTTTCTAGGCAATCTTTCAACAAGCTAACAAGCTATTTCATTTCATACTTGCAACTTTTTAATTTTATCTTATCATCCATTATTATCACTAATCACTTTCAGTTCTTTTCGAGTTCCGCTCATTGCAATTTTTTGCAGTATTTCTGTTTCCAATTGGTTGAAACAATTGTTTTTAAACAAAAATCAGTTCATCCATCTCATACTTCAGTCGATTACTTCTTGTTCCTCTCTCCCTCTCTCTCTCCCTCTCTCTCTCTCCCATCTCTTTGATAATGTCAACTAAAATTGACCTACTATTCATTCCCTTTCACAAATTGAATCATTTACTTTTCATTTTTTCTTGAATATTCATCCAGTACCTAATAATTGAGCTAATATCTAATAAATGAGCTATTCTATTCGTATATTTGGAAGTTTAATCGTTTTTACAACTAATTTTATGGCTTAGTATATTAGATATTACTGAATTGTTTGTTGTTTCAAATTCATTTTATATTTTTTTTTCTCAAATTTCATTTTATATCTGAAATATTATGCAAATATCGTTGAACTTTAATTTATAATATTACAATATTAGTAATTGTGTTCGCAAAAGATTCTACAATTAAGTTGCATTTATTAGTTATACAAATTTTCATTCTTAAGTTTTTTTTTTTTGTAACTTAAGTTTAATTTAGATTTCTTGTATTTTATTTTATTTTTTTCTTTTTAATTCAAATATTAATGTGACAGATTTGTGAAGAATTATAAAACAAATGTGACAAATTTGTTGAGAATCACAAAGTGTACATTACGCTTTGCATTTTTCTTTCCATCAGTAATGCATTTCAAATTTTAAAATTAATAGCTCATGTGATGAAAAAATTAAGGCCTTTACTTCATTATTAGTGTAATTAACTTATTGAAATAGACTGTTTAGACTTTTTGATTCTCAAATTCCAATTATTAATTATAGAATCTGCTAGTAGGCCAAGAAGTTATTGTTAATTCTTACTGATTTGAATAAGGACTTATCAATCTAAATTCTAATAAACTAACCAAAAATATCATCCAATAAGCAAAAAATTATTTCTAATAAATAATGTGACGTGTTTTGCGTGACGTGTTTTGCTCGTACGTGAAATTTGGTATGTAATTCTACATTCTTCATAAATACAAAAGTTTTTATGTGAAATGTTTCTCAACTGTACAAAATGTGAGACTAAACGAGAGAGAGAGAGAGAGAGAGAGAGAGAGAAAGGGAGAAAAAAAACGAAAAAAAATTAAAGAATTAAAAAAATTTTTAAATTATTTTGTTATTTCAGATTGAAGATATCAGTGAAGAATTGTGAGGTCAAGGACAACAACGTTTTGCAGTGATGTTCATTGAACGTCATCCGATTATAAAGGTTATAACTGATCTTTTTTTTTTTGCTTCTTATCAGTAATATCAATTTTTATGATATGATAATTAACCTTTGTTTTATTTTAGATATATACAGTTAGCTTTCTTTATTGCTTATTGTTTCATTCCATTGCAACAATTTTATGGAACGATTTGATAATTCATACAGAATAATATTAATAATATTCTTCTCTCTTTATATCTAAAATAAATAAAAATTATTTAACGAAAAATTTAATTAAATATTTTATTTCAAAAAATGAATTTATTAAAAATTCATTTTACTAAACTGTTACTATTTATGTAGTCAATCAAATAAGTAAAATATATTTCATTTCTTTATGTTTTACTTTTTTCTTTTTTTTTTAAAAAAAAAGATGTATATTGTCATATTTATTATTAAAATTTAAAAACAACAATGTTAAATTTATCGTCGAACATGCGGTAATTATTCTTGCATTTTTTAATTAATACATTAATTTTAAATAGGCTTAAATTTGAGATAATTATTTGTAATTCATTGTGATTCAAATGTTTTTTAATTCTACTAAATTTAAAGTTAAATGTGTATATGTGGGAGAGAGAGAGAAAGAGGGAAAGAGGGAAAAAAAGAATGAAAAGGTTTATATATTTTATTTTCATAATAAAATATAAGGGAATTCTGATGAAACTAATTACGGATGTTAATTACTGTTTTTAAATTATCTTGAAAGAGTGTTATTCGGACTTGGAAGTGACATTTGATTTGATAAAGTGATTAAGCAATAATAAAATTAATGTTTAATCTATTTTTATTTCATTAATGTTTTTGGGTTGTAACTGCAAAATGGAAGGAGTAAGATGAAGGAAGTTTAACTTAATATTTATTTAAATATTTAATTTAGGATTTTAGCTTAGCTAATATTCATCAATAAATTAAAATTATTTGTGATTTGTTAATAGCTCATTTTAATTTATTGATGAGAAATGGATACAGATTAGGTATTGATTGATTGCATCAACAGATCACTCTTACCTATTTATTATTTCACATTTTGTTGTATGTTTCGTTTATATGCCTATTTCAGGAATTTGCTTATGCTTTTATGGATGCCATCAACGAACGATACGAACGGAACAGCTCGATAAAAAGTTGTTTGAAATAAACCATATTTTCTACCAAATACGATGTATCTTGCTCGACCGGTACAGATGGGTCAGCATAGTTTGGCTCGTAACACTTCAAAGTCGAGAGCGCCACCTCCTCCACCAGCAGCACCACCGCCACCTGAGCTACCGCAAAAGTTGAAGCCGAAATCGAAGCCAGCTCCTCAGTTGGTAACGGTGAAGCCTGTATTTGATCGAGACAAGCTTTTGGATGAAGTTCGTTGTGGTGTGCAACTGAGGCACACACTTACCAACGACAAAAGCGCACCGACTGGCGTTGGACGTGTACGAAGTGGTGGTTATTCACCTCCACCTGATTCTGTCGCTTCCACTTCTACTTATAATAGTCGACCGGATGCTAAGAAACCTGTTTTTTATGGAAAAAATATCGAAAATACAGATGTACCGTTGGTACCACCAGCACCACCACCCCCAAAAGCACCTCCGGCTGTAGCTCTGCTAAAACTTGGCGGTGGTGCCAATTTTGACCGCGATAAGTTGCTCAACGAAATTCATGGCGGTGTACAACTGCGCAAAACTGTAACCAATGACCGAAGTGCACCTATCGGTGTCGGAACTGTCCGTAATGATTTAAGTCGTGCAGCATCTCCCATTCCAGAAACAGCTGTGTTATCAAACTCAGCAACACATCTGGATGTTACATCTGTTCCACCACCGCCTGTACCACCTCCACCGTCACCGGATTTCTTATCATCCCAAGTGCACCAAAACAAAATTGTGAAACCAGTCACGAATCCGGCACTGCTAAAACTTGGCGGTAAGCAGCCGATAGACCGCGATGCACTGTTAGCATCAATACGAGGTGGTGTTAAATTACGTAAAGTAGAAACCAACGATCGTAGTTCACCGTTTCCAGTCAGCCGCGACGTATCTCCAGATCATCATGCTCCATTAGAACCTGTCGGGGCACCTCCGCCACCTCCGTTACTTGTACCACCACCACCTCCGATTCCATCCGCAGAACCCATCCGACGTTCACGATCTCCAAAACCAGCATTGATGAAACTAGGCGGTAAAGTTACCGTGGATCGAGATGAGTTGTTACGTTCCATACGGCAAGGCGTAAAGTTAAGGAAAACGGTTACAAATGACAAAAGTTCTGCGATAATCAATGACGATGATTCCGGCGTAAGGTCTCCAGGACGATCGTCACCTTCGACGTCAAATTATGAAGATGACGTTTACTGTAGCCAAAGCCTGAGCGACCTTTCCAGCATTGGTACTTCAAGGTTTAGCTCTCTTTCAAATATTCCTCCTGAAAAATCGAACGACTTATACTTTGCTTCACCAGTTGTTCCGGAAGCTAGTGGCAGACTAGGTGCCACATCAACCTCTCATAGCTCATCGTCTACAAAATCACCATTAAATCTATTACCACTGATCAATGTTAGTATTGATGTCGTGAATTATGATGATGAAGATATTGTGGAATGCGAACCGGAAACGATAACATTGCAATTGCCGGAAAAGCGAAAAGCTGATGAATGCTATTCATCACCGATACCAACTCGTAAACAGATTGAAGCTGAAATTCCAGCTGGTTCGGCCCGTGATCGAATCAAAATGTTTGGTGGTAGTGACCGAGAGGCATCGCACAGCCCTGTACAAAGTTTAAATCGGTGCAGGAAATTAGATGGAGAAGTAGACAGTAATGAATTTGGTATTTCTCGGATGAGAAAACTTTTTGGTGACACAACCGTAGAACAGCCAACCGTGTCTGCTTCTTCAACAAGACATACTGAAGAACATGAACAAGCGATGCCAACTGCAAATGAAAGTAGCATTCGAAAAATGGTTCGTAAATTTTCCACCGATGATGACACCAACAAAGCTTCTCAACCTATTTGGTGCCAGAAAAAAGGGGAGAAAATGGTGGAAGAGGAGAAAAAAATACCGCCGATAAAACAAAAAACTTCAAATACCAAAAGTTCTATGAGAAAGAAATCGGGTACGAAAGGATCAAAGTTACGACGAAAATCATCTGTTAAAAATGAACAACCAATAGCAACGTCCAAAAAAACCTATGCAGCACCGGCGAGAGCTGATGAAATAATCTTAGCAGATCAATCCTCTGAACCAGAAAAGGAAGTAGAAGGACGAAATAATCATTTAATACGGGCTGTGCCAAAAGTTGATATTTCTAAATTTAAGGAACGATTCGAGAATCCACCAGAAGCTCATTTAACATCCGAAGAAGCAGTCAAACCAGGCCGAATTAAGAAGCCACCATGGATTAAGGATGATGAATCACAGCCACCTCCATCATCTCTAGGTATTATTCGTAAAGTTGAAGAGCCCTGTCGATCTTCACGTAAAAAGGCTGTTGAATCGGATGAAATGAAGAATTCATCGAAGACAACAACGATCACAAAGCCAATTCATAAGCAGAATTCATTGGATTATGAAGAGTCTTCCGAATCTTTGCATACTTCAACGTCAACAAGAAATAGTTCAACTGGTACCTCTAAGAAGATTGCATCAGGTTTGAAAAAGAACGATAAAATATCACCGCTAATTAAGTCTTCCAAGAAAGACATAATAAATGCATCGATAGTTGAAGAGGAAACGACAATACCAACACGAGAAGGTGTTGGACCGTATCGTTACACCCGAAAAATTAGTGCTACCGATAAAAAACCAGTAATGAAGAAAAATTCTATCAATTCAAAGGAAACATCAGCATTTAACAGTGGAAATTTACTAAATTCGATACCAAAACCATTCGGAACTAATTTTTCCACTACCGGTCAAACAACTACCATTGGTGTAGATGATAAGAAAGATGAGTCAAAGGTAGCATCAAATAATCGACATTTTGTTTCGAAGAATAAAATTCAATCAAAAGCATCAGTAGATCGAGAACATGACGAAGTGTTCGATGACAAAACGTCAATAAATTCTCTCAATACTAAAACAACTTCGGTTAGCTTTTCTTTTTTAAGTCTTTTGGGATATCCCATCTTTACAGGAAAGAAAAAATAAATGATATGAGATAGTAGGGATATTAAATATTAGAAGTACTAATTTATAATAGTTTCAATTAATAATGTATTTTGTAATTAATGAAAAATTAATTAAATGATTGTTTAGCACCTATTTTCTTCTACCTCTCTAATAATTAATTTCTTGTTCTTCAACTATAAATTCTTTGCTTTGTGTCTTTTACTTACTTTCTTTTTTTTTTAAAGCCATCAACAATTTATTGTTTAATTAATTGCAGGCTAAAAGTCGAAGGATAAGTAAGTGAATGTGTTATATTTAAAATCCTTTTTTTGTTTTGAAAGTTTGTTTGTTTAGTTATCATTAAGAATTTTCTAATCTAGCTAATTCATTAAGTAATCTAGACAGATAACCTAATGAATTAGCATTATGCTAAATTTTCATCCGATAATTCACTCCTGGCATATGATCAGCTTATTTATATCGTTCCTAATAATTTTATTGCAAAATTAGAGAAACCAACATTTAATGATAATTAAAAAATTTCAATATGAGCATGTTACTAATACAGTATTGTGTTATATTACATTAATTAAAATTTATCAAAAAATAGCAAGCAGTATTACTTTTTAGCTAGTAAAAATTAGCATCATCTTATTTACTAACAAAAAATTTATCACACTTAATTACTTAAAATATCAGAAATAAAGTAGAAACTTTTTTAAAGAATACTAATGTTTTGTGTGGTTGTGATTAAAAAAAAATGATTTTATCTTTTTTTTTTCTATCTTTTCTTTTCACGCAAATTGCATGAATTTTTTTTCTTATTAATTCATTTTGTGCATTTTTCAATTCCGATTATTTAAGTATTGAATATACACATATATAATACTTAAATAAATAGAATTATTTATTTTCATGCAGAATTATTGATCAATTAGTAGCAAAAATGAAGAAAGCAACATTGTTGCGTCGAATGTTTTAACATTAATTGTTCAAAAAAAAAAGAAATTTTTAAATATTATATTAGTAAATTGAATTAAATTACAATTTATTTGCTATAATTTCATAGAATGTCGTTTGCAGTTCTCTTCCTTCCTTTACTGATATGGAATTTTTATTTTAAATTAACTAAATTTTTGTGTGATTGCTAGAAAATAAAATTTATTAACAACAACAACAACAAAGAATTGATTTGCAGGAAAGAATTGATGGTATACATTATGCTAATGTTGGTGTAGCTGTGACAAAGGTATATGCGGTACCAATTAACAATATCTCATGGAATCATTCAGATAATGGTCACTTTATGTCCACTCCTTCTCTCAACAATGGCAATACATATGGTAATTTGAAGCAAAATAATAATTATTGCATATCTTCAACAACAACGAAGACAAAATCTTGTAAATACCCTGATAATCTACGAAAGTATCAGTCATATACACAACAACAACAAAAACTTTCTCTACCACCGCGGGAATATAATGGAATGATCGGTCGTGCACATCGAGTGATTGTTGGAGTTAGTGAATCACACTCGAAGATGACAACAATATCAAAAAGCTTTCAACAACGGTCTTTTGATGATAATATCCCAATTGCTTGTCAACAACAACAACAACAACAGCAGAAGCAGAAGAAGAAGCATGAGCAGCAACAAGACGAACATCATCTTTTTCATCAGAATTATCGCTTTCAAATTGATTTAGAAAATGACCAAGAACCACTTCGTATAGTGCATAGGTGACCAATAATTCATTTCATTCTAATTAGAATACACATTGATTCTTTTTTCTCTTTTTAATATTTTATCCTTGAAAATTAACAAAATATACGTCAATATGCTCATTTTAAACGATATGTGCGCATAATATTTTTTTTTTTGGAAAAAGTTACATTGATTGGTTCATTATGAAAAAGTTATAGATGATTTTAGCAATTTTAGTACTCTGTAATTTATTTATTTCATATTTAGTGAGTAACAATTTTTAATCATTTTGGATTCATTCAAATAAAGTTATATAGATATCTGTAAGTCTTTCATTTACAATAAGTTCAAGGTTCAGAGGTTTAGAAGTTAACGGTCAACCTGTTTTGATGTGTTCTTTTCTTTTTTTACATTACTTTGAAATATCACTTCTTTATTGTTGTATTTTTTTTACTATTTTCGAAATTTCTCGAATTACCACCGGTTTTGAACGACAATTTTTGTTGCATGCTTTACAAATGACGCAGTTTTTCTTTTTTATTACTGAACATATTATTATTACTATTATTATTATTATTAATTATTATCATCACTATTACCGTTAATTATTATTATCATTCATTATTCATTATTCATTACTATCATTTTCTGAAAAAAGTTTTGTATTTTTCTTATTTGCTCATCAAAATTTGCCTATTATGCCTGTATTTGACCTTTATTTTTAGTATTGACAGCTGTGCATATTTACATTTTATTCTGTTAATTTCTGCTTTTTTTATATGTATTTGATTCGCATGTGTAATATATCGTTGGATGAAACTAAAACTTTGCATAGTAATTAACTGAGCTTTCCTTTTTTTTCTTAATGCTAAATTACAATTAGTGCTATGATAACACAACATGATAAGATAAAATGAGCAAATGGGTAGAATGAAGTAAACAGTTTTTAAACTGATATGATATGATATAAGTGATTGAAGCAGTGATAGTTTATCATATCAAACAGTTGTATTCTATAATCGATAAGGAAAAGATACCCATTACAATTAGCTTCTGTAAATTTCCAAGATTTAATTAATACGACAATAAAATTGATTAGTAGCTTGATAAGATCGATAACAATCGATTGATAAGAAATGTGCATGTATGATAAAAGATAATGTATTAAATAAGGTCGATAATACGATTCTTTAATAAACAGAAATGTTTTGCTTATTGTTTCGGGTATATTTGATAAGATTAAATGAACTGTCTGCATTCTTTACAATCTCTTCAATAAAGGGAAATATTTTGCCTATTGTTTCGGGTATACCTTTTCATCTTTTCATATTCATTAATGATAAAATTTATCTTATCATTTTTTCTTTTTTCCTTCTTTTTGTAAATTACATTTTACATTTTACTTTTCTATTTGTTCAGTTAATTTTCGAAAAATTTAATATAAACAATTTATATTCTATTAAACTCCCATACCGTAATGTAGTATGGCTATTTGTGTCGAGAAATTACAGTTCAAAGGAAATACTTGAATATATCTCTTATCTTCTTATCATATTCTCTTCTAACTTCTTTTAATTAACGATGCTTTTGATACAATTAATTCTTACAATAATTTGTAATAGCATTTAAATTTGCACAAAATTTCATCCAATTTATAAATTTTTCACATCTTATCACTTAACATTTGCTATTACTAATTTCTCAAATACAAAATCAGATATATTTCAAAAAATTTCCAATGTATTTGCAATATTTTATGCAGTAAATTCGGGTGATAGATACCCTTCGATTTTTTCTTTTTTTTTTGTTTTGTTTTGAATAAAATTTTTGATTCATTCAAAGTTTTTTGGTTTTTATAATTTCAAGCATATATGCAAATGGATTCGAATATATAATAAAAAATGTGAAAAAAGAAATATTGAATTTGGCAAATATTACTTTTTACAGTTTCTAAAATTTATTTTGTAAATTCTTCATTCTATTCTCATTTACACAACAAATATTAATGTGAGAGGGATTCATTCTATCCATCATATCATTTAATTTGAATTTAATTTAAATTGATAAGCAAGAAATGAATAGTGTGACACGTTAACTATTACATATAGGTCATCCAAAATTAATTTCTAACATTTAACATTTGGGAAGTGCATAGTTCGGTTCAAATCTAATTTTTGCTTCACTCTCGACATACCTGAGTTAAATTAAACATTTGATAGTACCTTCTAATATAATTAAAGGAGGGAAAAAGCCTTAGATGAATAAGACTTTGTTGATTTTATACGATTTATATGTTTACTGTTGATATGATTTTGATGTCTAATTGATGACAATTTGTATGTTTGAAATAAAATAATTTTGTGATACATTTTTCAATGAATTATTTCAAATAATCAAATAATTTAAAATATTTCTTAACTTTTTTTAAAAATTTCAATCATTTTTATTAAACAGATCCCTTTTTCTTCAATAATTATCAATCAAAATAATTTTAAACGAAATTTCCAGTATTGTAGCAATAATTAATCAGATTTGATTTATCATTCAATTTTTGTATTTTAATTAGAAAATATTTCAATGAATTTTTTTTTGTTCACTCAATACCATTTTTTAGTAATAAAATACAATCATATCAGAACTTTCTGATAAATATTACAAAAGGAAAAAAAAAGTACAAAGACAAAAATTTATAATGAAAAACACAAAATAAAATGAAGTGGAAATGATAAAAGAAATATAATTGAAATGGAGAAATAAAATGAATTCAAAATTGAAATATATGCGAGTGATATATTTTAAATTTCGAATATATAAAAATTCGAAGGAAAAGAAGATCTATGCACATATATAAATCATTTCAAGCATTTTTTTCCTCAATTAGAAATTTATGTTAATTAATAAAATTTCATTCAATTTATGATTTTCATGTAAAATATTAATTAATTTTTTTCTAATGCTTTCAAAATGAGAATTTATTACAATTCTCTTCTCTTTTTGATTGTGTTTTAAAGCTAATATCAATTATAGACTTTCATAAGACTTTCATGTAAAACTTTAATAAATTCTACTTTCAAGTAATACTTTCAGAATGCAAATTTATTAAAATTTTCTCAGCCAGACGATATATATTAATTATAATATTGTATGTATTTTGCATAATTATTAAATGCTTGAAATTCAAATTCCAACAAAAAAAAGGAACGAATAAAAATGAAATAACAATTTGATAGATAATATTGGAAATAATGAATAAATAAATTTATTATACCTGTCGAATTACACTTACTTATACTTAGATTCTACTTTTTTTTTTTTTGGCCATAAAAAGAAAAAAAAATTCATCTATTTTGCTTTCTAATGTCAATTTTAACTATGATAAAATGAATTCTTGAAAATTCAAAACTATCATTGGTATTTTTTTTTTTTAATTTACAAATGTAAACTTTTTTTTTTGATAATATTGAAAATGGACTTTTTTAAGAGTTATAAAATAAACACAACTACATTTACAAAGTAATTGAAACATTGAAAAGACTAAAGTTTCAATCAATATTCACCGTTACTATATGAAAAGAGAAAATATAGATTAGCATAATTGCATGAGTAATCAAATTGAAAAACTTTTCAAATCGATTTTTTAATTTTTAATTTGAAATAATTTTTGAAGAATTAAAAATACATTTTCAGTGGGGGGGGGAGGGTAGGAGGGGGAAAAAAAAACACTTTTTTTATTCGTTCTAATCTTTATCGATGTTTCTCGTTTATGAATAATGCAATCATCGATAAGGCAGAAAAGAGTGAGTGCACAGATATGTGTAACTTAATTTGCATAAATTCGAGATAATAACTGTGATGAATCAATCATTTTACAATTAATTAAGATTTCTTTTTTTAATCGTTCTTTAGTAAACTTTTTAAGTATTATTCCATAATTTTTTATTAAATTATTAAATGATTTTTTTAAATTGTTTTATTTAAATTTTAACTATTTCAATTCCTCTTAAAATTATATTTATTATAATTAAACATAACGTAAGTGTGTAACGTAAAAAGATTTAATTTGGTCTATTCTCAGACTACGCTCTGAAACTGGAAGGTTAATTAATAACATCCAATCCTAAATTCAGCTTTATTCTCGAAAAGACGAAATCGGAAGAGCGCAGAGTTATTGCTACCGGAAAATGAACAGTGATGACTGACCGGATCGGATCTGACCGATTCTAATAAACAGACGTAGATGATTTAAACGGACCGGATCGTTACTATTAAATAAATGTAGATGATTGGTTGATATTTGAAAATAAAGTTATGGAATCTATTCCATCAAACAATTTATCTTTCTCATGCTTTAACTTTTTTTCAAATTTTATCGACAATCAAATTTCAAAAATACTTCCGATAATCCTCTGCACGTGTATCCGTATATATCCTTGCGTACGTGTACATGTACGTATGTACGTAATGTGAGTATCAATTTGTTATTATGGAGCAGAGGAGGAGAGTAGAATATTCATTTTAGGATGGCAGTTCTCGATGAATATTTCACTTCGATGACATCAATACCGAATGAATCATCGGATAAGATATCAGTGAGAATCGGCAAGTATGATAAGTTTCTTTTGCGTGACAAATTTGATTCCAGTTCTGATATATGGAATTCCGGTTTAATCTATCTAACGGAGAAGAAACCGGTGGGATAAGCAAATTATCGAGGATTGTATTAAAACAGTTCTCCTTGCGCATATCAGGTCTTTCTATGCTTCCACATTCCCTGGTTCTGTCCAAAAAACGATTTCTTCGGTCGATACTGAATTATGTGTACGCGTGTATGCGTATGTATGTCTGTGTCTGTGTGCCAATGTATGTGTGCATGTGGTGGTTAGGTATATATGTAGTTGGTGTGTCTGTATGTATGCATGTCTGCATATACATGTTATGTATGTGTGTGTATGTAGTGGGTATGTCTGCACGTATTATGTGCGTAGCATATGTGTCTGCATGTATGTATGTATGCATGTATATGTGTATGTATGTACACGTATACTAGATATAATTCACCTGGAATAATGTATGTGAATGTCTGTATGCATAGTATGTTTGTGCATGTCTATGTATGACTGGTCCATGTCTGTCACATTTCTGTGTAATATATGTATGTTTGCGTATGTCTGTGCATGTCTATGTATGTCCGTGAAAGTCTATGAGTGTCTGTATATCTGTGCATGTTTATGTATGTGTGTATGTCTGTGATTATGCATATGTTTCCATGTCTATGGATAACTGCCACCTGCATATTTCCTCGTGTAGATTCTCGTCACGTCCGTGTATGTGTGTATGTGTATACTACATATGTTACATATCATACTTGAATTCATCAGTCTACGTTTTTAGTTTTACACACACACATACATACATACATACATACATGCATACATACGTACATGCATGCATACATACATACATACATACATACATACATACATACATACATACACACATACATATATACATACATACATACATACATACATATATACATACATATGTACATACATACATACATACATACGTACACACACACTCACACACCCACACACACGTACACATACACATGCGCATACACATTGGCAGGAAATGTTTGTGTCGGTGGATGTATGTTTGTAAGCGTTTGTTTCGCTCTGTTTATATATATGTGATTGTTGTACTTATTTATTATGTACGTATTTGTGTTTACGTTGCCTGCACGTACGAATGAATGCACGTGAACTTGTAGGCATACATACATGACTGTTTGCATATATGTGTGATGTCTGCAATAGTGATTTACGCACCATGAAAATGTCGGTAAGTGTATGTGACGTGTGGAAATCATTATAGTGAAGTAAACGGCGGTGCAGATAAAAATTAGTCGGTGACTGTATATGTTTATGTATGTATTATGTGTGTGGATTTATATATGTGCGTGTATGTATGTGTGTGTGTGTGCGGCATACATCAACACTCATTGTGCTATCCTGAGCTACACACACACATACACACACAGACACGTGCATATTCACAGACATACACATTGTCGGTGTGTTGAGTGGACCAGTATCGGCTTCGGTGGTACCACAGGTCGACTCCCTATGGAGGAGAGTGATGGAACTGTATAGTTGGTCACTTCCGTGTCACGTGCGGCATGCTGTGGTGCAGTATATCCCACTATCCCGATCACTTCCCATTATCATTATCAGTTACTTTACTCGTTATTGATCGGAGAGTAACCTGTTGCTGTTGTTGTTTGGAATTGTTTGTGTTGTTGATGATTAGTGACATATTTGGGAGAGCAATGTGTTATCACTGCTAGGCTTACTTATTCCCTCCATTGTTTAGGCTTAACATTAACGAATTTGCAGAATTTTGCATAGTGACAGACAAGGAAGGAACTGAAAAGTATAATATATACTACAATATTACACGTTGAGTCTTTCATATAATTGAATTTGATCTCCTCAATGATATGGAAATTTTCGAATTTGAAACTTTGACTAAGATATGATAATTTACAATTGTTGGATTTTAGCATTAATTAGAATTCATGTAGCAGTTTATAGTTCCCATATTCAAGTTACATTCAGATATTTCGTTCCATATTGCATAGAAATATGAGAAGGGAATAGAAAAGTACATACTTATCCTTGAAATTTTTGATTTTGAGGCTGAACGTTTTATCTAAAAAATCCAAAAGTTAATTGTCACTTTAAACTTCCATGGTTGAAAGAAAAAGAAAACATCATTGCAGCTTATCAAAAATATGTTATGATAGTTAGTTAAATCCGGTGGCCGTGTTAAACTTCTTGTGAAATTCTCATACTTCATTTTAAATTCTCCAAAATTTCTGTGCTTTCAGAAGATTCCACATATCAGCAGCAACACAACATGTCAAATGAAACAATCGTATGGACGGATGCTATGCGTGAGGTACTAATAAAGTCGGTACAACGTCAGGAATGCATATGGAATTTTTCCAATGTTGATTATCGGAATGCTGCAAAAAAACGACAAATTTTTTGGGAAATTGCTCAGGAAATGTCGGAAATGTTCGGTATAATGCTTAAGGGTTAGCAGTTAGAAATGCTAATAATAATAATGATAATAATAATAACAATGATAATAATAATAATGATTAATAAATGCTGGTAATAAATAATAATAATAATAATCAGAATCAGAAAACACATAATGATGATGACAATGATGATCGTTGCAGTGATTGCGGTAATGGCAATAATGGATACTTGAGGTTGAGAATTGAGGCGGTAAGACAGGTGGTTGTATTGAGTGAAAATATTGAAAGTTGTAAACAGAATTGTTTACAACCACTTTTTTCTCATTCTTTCTCGCTTCACCATCTTCTCCTGTCTCTCTCTCTCTCCGTCTATCTTTCTAACTATCAAACTCTATATTTTAGCTTAGATTTCTCGTATTGCAAAACGAGTTCATAATTTTTTTTTTTTTTTGAATTTTTAATTCTGGATCGAAATCAGATTGTTATTATTGCTCACGTGTTCATCTCGTTCTACTTAACGCCTTCTAATTACGTTCTAACATTTGGAAGAGACATGACGTACGGGAATAGAGCCGAATAGTTGTTTGTTTTTATACGAAATTTTGGTTTTCGAAAGTTGAAAAGGAATAATTAGAGAAAGTGAAAAAGATGGGAAAAGAGAGAGAGAGAGAGAGAGAGTGGACTTCCAAGATTCATTTCATAGATTCAGCGTTCTCTGTGTCTTAATGTTTACTGTACTATTTAAATTAGAGGAGAGGAATTTAACTGACAAATCTCTATGCATGATACATACGCATATATATGCTTTTGTATACTATGTTTCGGAAAAAAAAGGGAGGTTATTTGTCCTGTAAATTTCTGGAAAGAGAATAATACAGATATTAAAACTGAAATGAGTGATGATGATGATGATAATGATAATGCTGATGATGTATTGATAGTGATTATAACATTACTAAATAATTTCGAAAGTTTGCAAAAATCGAAATTGGTTTGGAAGTTAAATTAATTTTGAGGTTATTTTTGCACTTCTCTTTTGGATAATTGTATGTTTTATATGTTACTTATTTTTTTCTCTTTCACTCTTTCCCTCTCTCTCTCTTTCGCTTCTTAACATAAAAAATTTAGGTACTCATACAAGTCGTCAATGGCAACATTTACGAGATCAGTATAGACGAGCTAAGCGTCGAATGGAAGTATCAAATGTTCAAATAAAGCCATGGCGTTTCATGCAAATGTTGAAATTTACGGATGCTACTGACATTGCCGAAGCAAATGATCCAATGTTAGTTCTTAAAATAAAAAACTATTCAAGATAAAATTCCGAAAATTATGTTCACTGCCCTCTTTTTTTTATTAACTCAATCACTGAACTGTCATTTCTTGAACGTTGAACTATATTATATAGGATGAGAATTGTGGTGATGTAATTTTAATGTATGTTTCATAAATGAGACAACATTTGTTTATATCATCAATAATTAGACAAGATATATTATAATAAGGCAAACTGTGACCTTCCGATTCTTAATCACTTTCCATTCAAACTGAATTATGAATGTCAGACATTGTATGAAATTTAAAAATATTCAGATTTCGATACAACCATAAAAAAGAAATTATTAACATCAATTCTTGACTTATAGCATATTGCAGGGTATTGTTAATGCTATTTTCTGTTTATAATATCAGTGAATTAGGTCTTGCATCATATCCTTAAGTGAGATTTCATAAGAAAAGAATTAATGTTTTTTTAAAGCAAAGATAAATATTAGAAACGAAGCAGAATTTTAAGCCTAGGATTTACTAGGAACCACAACTTGTTTCGTTTTCAACTAGAAAAGATAAGATTTGTAGGAGTTAACTAAAGTTTTAACATAGACTTTCAAAAATATACTTCTCAAATTGACTTTTTGTGCTTTCTGATTATTCCATTTTTATCCGTTATTGATTTTCATATAGAAACCATTTTGTGACTCTTAGGGCATCGGTTCTATTCGAAACGAGCAATTGCATAGTGCTCCGACAGCTGCAACCATATACTTTTCCTAGTTTAATACCTGGTTTTTCGATTTTCGAACTTAATCTTTTTACTTTGGACATTGAAAAATATGTCGCATTCTTACTATAATTGTCCTTGGGAATCTTTTAAAGCCGGAACTGCAGAGTAAGTCATATTCTGCAATTCTGTATCTCACTGTGGCAGCTTCAAATTATGCAAAATAATGCCTTTTTTTTCTTTAGAGAAAGAAAAAATTTCAGTGTAATAAATTTTTTAAAGAATATCGTTACTTTGATCAATGGAATACTCAAAAAATGAAGAATCCCTTAGATGGAAACAGGTTAAGATGGATAGTAGAAACAGGTTAAGATGGAGGTTAAGATGAATAAGACAAGTTCCATTACATAATTAACAGAAGAGTTCGAAGAAGAGTATGGAATCCCTCTTTGGATTAACTGCCGAACCATTCTTTCAACTGTAAAGTAGAGCTGCACTTCAAATTTGTGCAAAAAAGCTTATTCTTGCTTTCTTACATATTTCTTTTTCATCTTCGAATTAGTTTCTTGTTGTTTTATGATGATCATAATCATTATTTGAGGCTTTAATAAATATGTTTTGTCTTATTTTTTTTAATCCCAATTTACTTAGATTTAATATTACAAAAATGCCATTTCTAGGAGCTATTTGTATAATTCGTTTCTGTTGGATGATCGGAACGTCCAGCAACAACGTCCGTATTCAACACCAAGTGCCTTGATGTCACAGGAACGTAAAGAAGGCGAACAGCAATCAGCGTATCCTATTTATCCATCCAAAACTGATGGCGGATTATATCCTGTGACTAGTACTGTAACTGTGACATGTAGTCCAAGTACAGCTGGAAATCCATACAGTTCGGTTGATCAGACTAACGAAGCCCTGGCGAATATCGAACGGTTAGCAAATATCGAACGAACTATTGAAGCAGTCTCAAAAGCTGAACAGTTTAGCGATAGCTCATTTCATCAAAACGGCGACGAATCGTCAAATCATGATGGTTCAGTTTCTTGCTTGTCTTCATTTCAATTTGAATTTAATTTCAACCATTTCAAAGTAATGCTAAGTATACAGAGAAGTGATGCGAAAAAAGATGTGTAAGTTATGTATGTATAGAAAACATTAGAAAAGAATCAAATAAATAAAAATTTCTCTACAAAGTTAAGAAAAGATAAAATATGAAATCTGAATATGCAAATAAACTGGACTGAAAGATGGAACATAAGACTAACTAAAACTGATTTGTGAAATATAGGTAGCATAAATTAATTAACAGAATATGTTGCTTTTCGAACAGTGGTGAATTGCATCCTTAACCTGCAGTGAAAAAAATATTTACTAGCAATTTCTTGACTTACAGTAAAACCGGATGCTACATGCCCACCAGTTGTTGGTTCGAAAAGGCGGTCCAGTGCATTACAAATGGTACATGGTATTGACCGAAAGAGTGGGAGAGAAATAATCGACGAATTCACTCTTTTGGGTATTGCGCTTTTAGTTCATTATGATCAGCTCCAAATTATGATATCCATTTCAAAAATTGATTCCTCAACTAAAGCAATTTAATACTTTTTGTTGTTTTGTACTGTTATGTCTGATACTCTTTTAAAATCTGTTTCAGGTCAGTTTGTGGAAAAAAAAGTACGAGCAATTTCGATTCGAAATCCACGGCTTGGTTTAATAGTACAGAAGAAGATCAGTGATTGTGTATTTGAAGCATCAATGGAACTATTGGAAATCGATGTAAGTTTCCAAGTTTGTGATTGTTATGAATACGATGGTTCTATCAATGAAATCCAAAATCCTAAATCAACCATTTCATAGTTCATTACAGTGGTTTTTCATATTCGGAATAACAGGTTGATGATAGTACTGATGAAAAAAGATAAAAGATTTAACATTGCAATCACCACTTTACCTCTAGATCTTCTGAAAATCAAGTTGTTAAAAAGCACTAGACTTCGCTTATAATTTAAATAATTTGTGTTGCATAGCTTGATTCTGAACCATCTTACTCTTTTTTTTTTTTTCAGCATCCGGAAGTAGCACAGAATAATCATGTTAATTACAATGTTACTTAATGAGGAAAAAGGAGACATTAATAATCTGTAATTTTTTGAATACTTCTATTCTGTTTCACTTAAATTTCCATCAATAATCAACAGTCCAAACTTCACTGTTCCATTTACAGCGTACGATTTTACGACCATATTTCTTGATCATTTCTTCGGCTAATTGTACATACTCTTTTTCACACTTTTGCCGATCTTTTCCTGAACATTATTATATTTTAATAGCTGTTTGTTTTTTGTTCAGTTTCCAGTTCATCTTTGAATCATAGCATAGTTTTCGACTAATTCTATCTCATGTAATGCTTTTAATGAGTTAATCATGTAGTCTAAACAGATAAGGTGGATGAAGAACGGGAGGTATCCCAGAAGTTCCTTTCGCTTTTTTTTTTATGGTACTTTACAAAATTAACAAAGTGTGGTCAATTTCAGTGTTAGAATGTTAATGAAATACTCATTTTTTCTGACCGCTCTCAGTCCTCCTCTGGAGTTAGTTCTCAGTCCTTCTACCAATTAACGTTGTACAGATATTTTTAATGGAAAAAATTGATAAATTAGAAATTTAAATCGGTATTATAAATTCATTTTTGTTGTGGAGGAAGTCAAATTCAATAGCATATAAAAAATTAACCTTTATTTTTTACCCAAGCACTGTACTTACGCAAATTCCATTGATCAGTTCCGGATGGTTTGGCTAGAAAACAGTGGATTAATACGAAGTGGATCCGGTGTTTAAAACATTTCATTCATTGTTTAAAAACTTTCTAATCAGGATAAAATAAAGGCTTTGTTAAGAACAGTGAAGTGCAATTAGTTTTGAATACTAATTTCTTTCCATATTTCAAAAAAAAAAATCACATATTTTTATGCTGGCATATGTTCGAATGTTTGTTCCTTAAATAAAAATTTAAGCATTTTGTTGTACATTCTATATGCATTCTAACTATAAATGATTATTTTTGAAAACTATAGAAATATTTCCAGTTTCCGGATTTTGGACACAAGGAAAATATAAAATGAAATCTTAACATAGAATTAGTTTTTGTTTAAATATGAAAAGAATTGTAATTATGAATATAAAGTATTCCCGCACTAGTTATACAGTCTATGAAATAATTTTAATGGAGGAAAGGAGAGATAAACGGACGATAATCTTCAACGGATGGTATATCTCCATGAATTATTTGTTTATAAAGACCATATAATTGCAATTTTTCTTCATCATTTGGTTCACCATCGAGGCGTCGCATTTCTTCAGCTGCTATATTGAAATTCATTCCCGAGTATTTCTGAAACTTTCTAAAAAATAAGCTAAAAAAAAAAACGGAAACATATATTTCATTGAATTATATAAGGGAATTTAATAAAATTTGATGAAATTGAATAATCTCGAGAATCTCGAATAAATTACTTGAATAAAATAAATATATAATATATATATAATATCCGTAATGGATATGATAATAACTGATGAAAATCATTTTATTCACTCGTACATATGGAAATTATTGAAAATCATTTTAATTTATTCACTCGTATGGATAATATTATGAGTTAGAATGCAAAACGTAAACAAAGTGCAAAATGTAAACAAAGCGCAAAATTTGAGTGTTTCAAAAAGTAAAGTATGTTTATTAGAAATTACATAATATGTCTAGTGATGATATATATAAGAATTAATAATTCATATTAGAATTTCTTTATTGCATAAAAAAGAAAATAGAAAAAAAAAATACCTTTCTGAGCTCACTAAGAGGCATAACGAAAAATGGAATAATGGAAATGATGAATAGATCTAAAAATATTGCTGTCATCTGATATTTGAAAGTTGATTGAGCAATAAAATTGTAGCTAATTTGTTGTGATCACTTTGTCAATTATTAGTTGTAATTGTATAAATTGTTCGAAGTTAATAAATGTAATCAATCTGTCAACGTTAATATTAATAAATGTATGTATGTGTCACAATAGTCAAATTGTTGAGTAATAGCTTACGGTATTAATTGACAAATTTACATCGATCTGCTAATTAGAAACTTAGGGAAAGGGAAAATAAACAAACAATTAAATATAATTATATTTTCATATAAAGAGTTAAATATCAGATTTAATTTTATTATCATAATCTATGATAATTGAATAATCTGAAATTTTGCCAAATAAAAGTTTAATATTATTACTGTAAAATTAAATTAAATTTTATACTTTAATTTTACTGAAGTATTAATGAAAATTGTCCTTTAATTTCTATTTCAAACTTTTCAGCAAAATTTTGATTAATTCTTACTCACTTATTGTTTACCTTTTAAATTCGTTAAATAATTTTAACTCACAGATTTCAGTCTGAAAATCAAATTTCGATAGTCTATCTGTAAAATCAATTACCCATGAGATTTTGATTTGCATTTATAGGGCTGTGATAAAATGTGAGATTAATTTCAATTATAAATTAGTGTGTTATTTTTTTTACGTGATGGAATGTTACGTGTTCCGTCTCTTTTGTTATCTGCAAGTTTCTCTTTTTTTCACTCTTTACTTGCTAATGTCAAGAAACGTTAAATCGTTTGAATTTGAAAATTGTGTGATTTGCATTGCTTCAAGAAATGAAACACTTTTATTTGATTTATGTCCTTATTATGCTGTAATGTCAAGAACAAGTTGGATCGCTAACACTTTTAAATGTCATTTCTGTGGCAAATATTGTTTTCCATGAACGGTAACGTTTGCTGCAGAATTTGCGCACAAAATTTGTTTTTATTTTTTATTTCAGGGTTACCTTTAAAGTTAAAATGCATCGTCGGATAATGGAAGGATGAGAAGAGATGGGAAATGTTTTGTCGGCACAGATACCTAATCAGATATTGGGTGTAGAAGCATATCTTTCAGATATTAACGATGTGAAATATGTCGGAAGGTTTTCTTTAATTTTCTTAGTTTTTATTTTCAGAATTAAATTTGTAAATCAGACATAGATTTTGTCAATAATCACTTAACAAGATGTAATATAAGTTAAAGCACATGCTGTTTTCCATTTTGATATGTTGTGATTTAAGTACTGTACATGTTTTAGAATATTAGGATGTTTTCACATAGCTTTAACTAGAATTTATATAAATAGTGATGAGAGTGTGATAATATAAATAGTCTATATGTAGTATGTAAATGTTGCATAAAAGATATTGGCTAAACTTTTAATACAATAAACATAATATTTTAAATGTATCTTATTGAAAATTGGTAAAAATATTGTCATTCATAGCAGTAACAAAGAAAGCGAAACAGAGAGAAGGAGTGAGTTATGCTTTTTTAAAGTTATTTAGTTGTATATAGATATGCAAATAATTATTCGTTCAGCCTGGGAAGCACTCGATTTATGAAAGTAGCTCGAGTGGATCATGCAGAAGGTCCATCAGTTCTGAAAGTTTTTCTCCTTCAAGATCCATCATTTTCGATCGATCTCTACCGTGACCAAGTACTAATCTTATGTCTTTATTTTCAAGATATATGGAAATTTTTTTTTTTTTAGTTTTAGAATTAATCTTTTGCTTATTAAGGTTATTCAAATTCGCGATCTACTGGGCAATGCGTACAATTGTTGTCCTTTCAGACGAGTATATGTAAGTAATGTTGATGGTTGATTACGTTACGAATGTTTTTTTTTTTTTTATTAATTAATCTCGTTGTACCGTATTTTATAATCGAATTGTAATGTTTTTATTCTTATACACAATCCTGTTCACGTTGTTGCATTTTTTACTAGAGTTAGCTCATGAAAATACTGACTTTTAAGGTATTGGTGTGCCCTGCTCACCACTGCTTATGAATTAATTCTTTTGCTAGACCAAAGAAAATCAAATTTTAAATCTCATAAACAATGATGTTTTTTTATGAGATTGCACCTTTGTTTATGAGATTTAAAGGAATATTTGTTTTTAACAGTTAGCAGTTTAGGTCACATCACGTTGTGTTATTTTGTCTCGGCCATTCCAGAAGTACACTCTTTATGATCGTATAAGCACGTATCCATTTCTTACAGATATCGAGAAAAGATGGATTGCTTTTCATCTCTTCAAGGTTAGTGCTAAGGAATCTTGCTTCTTACCTCAGTGTCGCAAAATTTTTGCAATTCATTCGTTATCAGCTTTTTTGTTTTCATTTTGTTCCAGGCACTTGCTCAATGTGAATATGCCGAAGTATGTCACGGAGATCTAAAAACTCAAAATGTCCTTGTTTCAAGTTTCAATTGGGTACAAATAACCGATTTTGCATCGTTCAAGCCTACTAATATTCCATCGGTTTGTAATATTTCCAGTTTCAGTTGCATGTTTAAATACTCGTTATTGATGTAAAGCACGGTAACAGCTACTCTAGACGCTGAACATTATTCTTTTATCAATTTCATGTCCTTCCTCATGGTTTCATTACTCTTTTGATCACAGCGGTTTATTTTCGCAGCTGTTCCGTAATAAAAAATTATGATTGAAATTAATTAACTTCAGGATGATCCATCATATTTCACCTTCTTTTTCGATACTAGTCGACGATTAAGCTGTTATTTGGCACCAGAAAGATTTTGTACCAGTCAGGAGCTGAATTTACATCCAAATCTTCCGGGTGAATTTATGGATGTCTCCAAAGGCCTTACACACGCTATGGATATTTTTTCTCTTGGCTGTGTACTTGTTGAGTTGTTTACGGAGGGCCAGTGTCCATTTACTTACGAATTACTCGTTAAATACAAGTACGTTAAACGAAATAATTTTTGTTCTCTATTGATAAACCTATTCTTTCTTCAGGTCTTTGGAGTTCTTGTGAAATTTTATTTGAAAATAAGCGAAACTAAGGCCGACATTTTTAGACACGCATCTGACGCAGAGGCACAACTGATGATTCAGCAAATTCAAGAACAATTGCCAGATGAATTGCGCAGTATGATTGGTTTAATGCTTCATCGAAATCCTGCAAAAAGGCCAAAAGCATCAGTACTGGTAGGTATTTCTGTTCTAACTATTCAATTCAAATGATATTTTTTCCTAACTAAATTTTCTACTTTTTCTGCTACTTTTGTTTGGCTTAGTTTTTTTTTGTTCGTTTAAGAAAGGGAAAAGGCAAACTGAAGTTATATTTTAACTTTTTTGAAAAATAGGCACATTTTTTTGCATCATGAGGGTTGGTGATGCAGTCTCTATTCCATTTCAAAGTAAAAATTATTTAATGTGTATAGTTTAATTTTTAAGATACGGAAATATTCCCCATTGCTATTCCCACCAATATTCGATCATTTCCTGTATGATTATATAAATGCCTTTCGACCAAAATTTTTGCAAACAAGTGTATCACTCGAAGAGACGCAAACTTCAGAATCAGTAGATCCGGATGATATGATTACAAAGTTTGTTCACATTTTTTTTTTAAAACAACAATTTGAAAGTTGTGAAAGTTGCTTTTCCTATCCATGGATATCTATACTTTCTTACATTTCCTACATCTATCTATTTTTAATTTTTTTTTCTGAAGATATTTCATACTAATAAATAGCCTAGTACAATTAGCTTATTTTGTTATGGACTAACCTCATTGACTTGTACTGTATCAGATTAAAGCCTTATTATTTTCTATATCGAAGGTTTAAAATATGTATATGCTTATTATTTTTTGGTAGTAGTGAGAAAAACTGAAACTAAATGTTTTCAGATTATCATTGGATATGCAATCAACTGTAGGGAAATTATCAGAGAAGGCTGAAATTAATGGAAAACCGTTCGATCAATTACCTGCCGTTTTACTTATTCTTGCATTGGTCACTTCAAATATGCGCGCACTTAAATCATTAACCATAAAATTTGTTAGTGTATTTCTCGATCAGATATTTGTGAGCATGTCACCCAGTTGCATTCTGTAACCTTGCAATGTGTCTTGTTTTCCCATTTTGTTATTGTTTAGAGTTATAATTACACTGATTGTTTTTATTTTTCCGATTTTATGTACGCTATACAAGGGCAGGGAGTGGACAACAATAAGTAACTTTATATTCTGAAATTATAAATTCGAAAACAATTTTGAATTTGTAAAACAATATTTTATTTCATTCTTTTAATGAGTTGCGTTTTTTCTGTTAAATTTTTCTCAGCGATTATTATAGACTAAATTAGATTTTTTTCAGGAAGCGATGAAATTATTGCATAGGTACGTGCCATGGGTAGATATACTGACTGTTGCGGATCGCATATTACCATACTTGGTTTGTCATGCACGGTTTTTTTCTATTTCTGAGAGA